CTCAGGTCATGGTCCCAGGGTCCTGGGATCGAGCCCCGCATCGGGCTCCCTGCTCCGCGGGAAGCCTGTTTCTCCCTCTCCCACTCCCCCTGCTTCTGTTCCTGCTCTCGCTATCCCTCTCTCTGTCAAATAAATAAATAAAATCTTTTAAAAAAAGATTAAAAATTCAGTCCCTTAGGCACTCTAGTCACATTTGTGCTCAGTAGTCACGTGTCATATGCTCAGTAGCAACATGTGGCCAGTGGCTACCATACTGGACAGTGCAGGTATGGAACATGTCCATCATGGCAGGAAGTTGCATTGGACAGAATCTAAATTGGACATTTAGATTTTGTTGTGCTGCTTCCCCACCCCGAACTTCGGATCGATGTCCCATCTCCTGACCCTTGGTCATTTTCTCCTACCCTCCTGACCCTTCATCCTCCTCTTTCCCCACGTTGCCTATTCTTTTGTGTTTTTTTTCCCCACCTCCTGAGATCCTGTTTCTCTTCTCTTTCTGCCATTTTGTGAGAGGCACCAAAATATCATCAACAAGACCACAGGCTTCGTAGTTGGGACTGACTTGGATTTGAGCCCAGGCTCCACTGTGCCCCAGCTTTGTGACTGTGTGTGCCTCAGTTTCCTCCTACGCAAAATGGGAAGAGCAGTAATTGCACCTAACCTCCCAGGCTGTGAGGATTCAGTGAACTTTTGCACATTACGTGCTAGCTAGCAAAGGGTCTGGCTTGTGGTGGCCCCTGGTAAACCTTAGCTGGTACAGTTACCTTTCTACCTTGCTGACCCCCAGCTTCCTTTCTCCCTCAGTGTGAAGCCATTCTCGCAGACACCGTTCTCCTTGTCACTGACCCCCCCATCTACTGACCTCCCAGGTAAGAGTCTACTCTGTATCTTCTTGTCTCCCCTCTCTCCTCAACCCCAACTGCCTTTCCTTCACCTTCCACTGATCAGGGCACACATTTCTACAGAGGTCCAGATCTGAGGCAAGGCTTGTAGGGGGTATGGAAAGATGAGTGATAGAATTTGTAGTGGTTAAGATCATGGCCTTTGAATTCAGACACACTGGGTTTGTGTTCTGCCACGTGCTAGCCTCGAGGACACTGGGAAGGTCCATATGAAGATTCTTTCAGATGCAAGTGGCAGAAACTGAAATCAAGCTCAATGATTTGCTTAAATCAAGCTAAAAAAAAAGGAATTTATTGGTTTAGGTAACTGATATTTCAGGGGTGACTTGACGGCTTCAGGCACAGCTGGATCCAGGGGCTCAAATGGTAGTATCAGCTTTGCTTGGTTCTGCTTTCCCCTGTGGTGTGTGGTGGCTTCATTCCCACCTGGCAGCAAAGATGGCTTCCAGAAGTCCATGCTGATGTGGTCCTAAGAACTCATACTGGTGAAAGAGAACTCTCAGGTTCCACAGATTCATCAATTCGTAATGCTTTTGGCTGCAAATAACAGAATGCCCAAATTAATAGTGCCTTAAATAATAAAGGCTTTAATGATTTCACATAACAAAAAGTCTGGAGATGGGGTGCTCTTATGCTGACTCAGCAGCTCAGCAGTATGAGGACTGGCATCTCTATAGGTCCCTTGGCCTCTTACTGTCCCAAGATGGCTGTTGTGATTCCAGGCATCATGTCTCAAGCAGGACTTGGCCAGGGCCAAAAGCTTTCTCCTCCCAAAGTTCTGTCTTTTTCATTCAGGAAGAAACTCCTTCTCAGAAGCCCCTCAGCAGATTTCCCCTAACGTCTCATTGGCCAGGACTGTGTCACATGGCCATCTCTAGTTGCAAGGGAGGCTGGGAAAGTGAGTATTTAGCTTTTTTAGCTTCTAAGCGGAGGTAGGCAAGAGAGAAGAGTGCTTGATGTATTTAATACATGTTAGCCATTTTTATTGTTCTTTTTTTCCTCTCTCTAGGGTACGAGCCCCCCCAAGCCCTGTCACCCCCTGCCCTGCCCCCACCTGCCCCATCACCCCCAGCCTGGCAGGCTCGGGCCCTGGGCACTGCCCGGTTGCAGCTGGTGGAGTTCTCAGCCTTTGTGGAACCACCCGATGCCGTTGATTCTGTGAGTGCAATTTTAGAATAGTCACTGGCCGGGAGCGGGGGCAGGGGGTTGGAATGTAGAGGGTGATAGGAAGGGAAAGGATAAACCAGTGGTTCTCAAACTTTAGCATGTATCAAAATAACATGGAGGGCTTGTTGAAACATAGATTGCTGGGCCCCACCTTCAGATTCTGATTCAGTAGGTCTGGTGTGGGGCTTGAGAATTTGCATTTCTAACATTCTCCCAGGCGATGTTGATGCTGCTGGCCTGGGGACCACACTTTGAGAACTGCTAGCATGGAGGAACTGGATGGTCGTGGGGTCACGGTTGGGAAGGTCAGAGAAACTCTCCAGGTCATTGCTTGTTCATTCAGCAAATATTTTTGAGGGCCTACTGTGTGCCAGGTTTTGTGGTGGAGACTGGGAACCTGGAAAACAGATCTTGTTTCTAGACTTGAACTTTTCCTGGGCCTGGACGGAGACAGATGCCATATTAGTCATGGTGGGCTGACTGTTAGCAGAAATAACCTTAACCTTCAGGGAATGAACATAACACCAGTTTCTCACTCATGTAACATTTCAGTGTAGCTGTTCAGTTAGGAGCTTTACACACAGTGATTCGGAGAATTCAGGCTCCTTCCATTTTGTGGTTCTGACATTTTCTAGGGCTTCAGAATCTGCTGCTGGATTCCCTGCATCTGGCCAGCAGATGGTGGAAGGGAGAGACTCAAGAATTGTGCAGGAGTTTTTACGGGGGTCTGTCTTGGAAGTGACAACTATCAGGTTCTGCTCACATCCCATTGGCCAGAATTTAGTCATGTGGCCACACCTCACTGCAAAGGGGTCTGGGAAGTGTAGTTTAGTTGTGTGAAAAGGAATGGGGGGGGTTTCTGAACACCTAGCAGTCTCTGCCACAGCCACATAAACACCAATTGCTGTGTATGGTGGTCCTATAAAACCCAAGTTGAAACCCTCTCATCTCACTTGGAGCAAAGGTAAAGTCTTTTCAGTTTCCCACAAGGCTCTGCATGATCTGACCCCAATTCCTGCTCTGCCCTCACCTCCTGCCCTTATATGCTTGCCCACTCTGCTCTGGTCACACTGGCCTCCATGCTCTTTCTCAAACACACCAGGCCCACTCCTGCCTCAGGGCCTTTGCATCTGCTATTCTTGCCACCTGGAATATGTTTTCCCCAGATACCACCACTGTCTCTCTCCATTCATTCAGGCCTTTGCTTATCTTCTCAGATTGTATTCCCCAGACCACTTTATGGAAAATACCAGCTGCCATCATGCTCAACCGCTTTACTATTCTTTATTGGGAATTTTTTTCATAGCATTTGTCACTCTGAAATTTATTTTATCCATGGGTTGATTTTTAAAATTTTCTGTCTTTGCTAGTAGACTCCATGAGGCCAGGGACTTTGTCTTATAGCCATAGGACCCAGTGCCTGCACACAGTAGGTCTCTCAATAGATGTCTATTGAATGATGAGTATGTGCTGGGATAGGGGAAGCTCAAGTTTTCGTGGGTGTACAGAGCAGTCATTCTTTTTTTTTTTTTTT